GAGGTGTGGACTGTATGACTTTCACTGTTGCCATGGCAGCCTAGTATGATGTTTCTGATCAATAAAGAAGAAGGTATATGCTCATCATACTCATCAGCATCCACCTTGATTCATGATTAGAGAACCTTTTGAGCATATTCAATCATTAATTTATTCAGTATGATACTATATATCCTTAGGGGTCTCACAATTGCTGCTCAAGGTAAGGTTCAAACTTACAACCATTGCTTCAAAACATAAGCACCAGAATGTGAGCAGTATTGTACTTTGGCATTAGTCTAGTGTTTAGCCATTTTGCTCTATGTTATGCAATGATGTTTAGAAAGTTGAGCTTAAAACTGGGTTCCTTCCAGGTCGCTGCTCTGCAGAGTTTAGCGTTTTCACTCTAATAACACACTAAATTCAACTTATAAAGGTTTTGCTAGCTAGCAGATGAGTTGATTTAGGTCTGTTTAATGAAGTGATATGCTAAACTCTGCAGAGCTCTGGCCTGGACCTAACTCAGTTTGACACCTCTGGTTTAAGGGAACACACCATATGTCTCAACCATATGTCTCAATTTTGGCACCAGGCACTACATCCTCACAATATGAACTATATACTTGACTCTCTAAAGCCTGTGTTTTTGTAGGGTAGTATCATTTACATCATGTTCTAACAATGAATCACACCTACACTCACCAAGCACTTTATTAGAAACACCTGTACACCTACTCATTGTAGTGGTGCAGTGCATAAAATCATGCAGATGCAGACCAGCAGCTTCAGGCAATGTTCACATCAACCATCAGAATGGGGAAAAATGTGATCTTAGTGTACTGGATTGTGGCATGATTGTTGGTGCCAGACGGGCTGGTTTGCGTATTTCTATGATTGCTGATTTTTTGGGATTTTCACACAGAACAGCCTCTAGAGTTACTCAGAATGATGAGTGGCAGTTCTTTGGACAGAAACAGCTTGTTGATGAGAAAGGACTGTGGAGATTGGCCAGACTGATTCAAGCTGATAACCACTCTGTACAATTGTGGTGAGCAGAAAAGCATCTCAGAATGCACAACACGTTAAGCCTTGTGGTGGATGGGCTACAACAGCAGAAGACCACACTGCATTTTCTAAACACTGTACTAATAAATGTAGACCATCAGAAACAGATGCTTTTGTCGGTTGAGTAAAGATCCTGTCAGGGGTATGGGCAATTTGTTTTGTCCCTGCTTTAACACACCTGGGCTGAATTCCACAAAGAAATATTGCTTAATTGAGATGTACTGGTGTATAAGTATTGCACACTGACTGGCGCACCACTGTAGCTTACAAGTTTAATGCTTTCCATTGAAGTCCTAAACTGATCTGTCCCCATCAGCTGAACAGAAAAAAACAGCAGAGCAGGAATTTCTTAGTTAACCAAGTAACATCATCATAAACTCAAGCCAGACCATAAGAGGTAAGGGGACTGTTGGACAGTCCTGACTTTGAGCTTACCTTTTCCAGCTTGTGAAATACTCTTCAGACTCAACTCACAACACAAACAGTTAATTTCACCAGCAGGTGAGTAGATCCACATCCACTCCATGCAGGCTCACCACCAGTGTTCCACAAGGCTTGTTGCTGGGTCCTCTTCTCTTTTCACTTTACACTTGTTCTCTTGGTGATGTTATATTCTCTAATGGTTTCTTCTTCCATTGCTATGCCGATGACACCCAACTAATCCTTGCCTTCCCACCTTCTGACACTTAAGTTTCCAGTCACATCTTGGTGTGACAGAAGAGTTTACATAAAGATGTGCATCTCATGCCATCTGGAAACTCACAATCTTGACATCTCTTTATGGACAGCACCTCAACAACTGAAGCTTAAACCTAGCAAGACTGAGCCACTATTCATCCCTGGAATTACAGGTCCTCACCATGATCTTGCCATCTTATTTAAGAACTCTTTGGTCAGTCCGTATGAAGAACGCTTGGTGTGATTCTAGATGGCCAGTTATCATTGTAAGCTCATACTGAACACTTGATTTAACCATTAAGGTTTCTTCTCTACAACATTTTCTTATTTGGGAGGCAACCTTGGTGCTCAATCAGTCTCTTGTCATCTCAAAGTTTGATGCTCTTGATTGATCTTCCTATGTGTGCAGGTTCCTATGTGTGTCAGGTCCTTGCAACTGACCCAGAAATCAGCAACATGGCTTGACTTCAATATTCCTATGTTCTCTCATGTCACTCCACTGTTGTGTTCCCTTCACTGACTTCCTGTAGCTGTCTGCATCAGATGCCTACAAAGCCAGAAACAGAGCCCCTGCCTACCTGGCAATTGTTAAAACTCAATCCATACCTCAAGCTCTTTGAACTTCCAGTATGGCTTAGCTTGATCTACCATCCTTCAAGATGCATGGAAGACAGACATCAAGATTGTTCTTTGTCCTGCAGCCCAGGTGGGGGAATGAACTTCCAGTTGCTGTCCAAACAGCAGAGTACCTTGCTGTTTTCAAATCCTGTCTGAAGACCCATCTTTTTGTGAAGCGCTGAAATGAACACTAATCTTGCACTTATTAAAATATATTGTATTGCACTAAATTCAATAATTTTATATCTTTCTTTCTAGCACAGACTTTTGTTTCTGGCAGTGTCTAATTTATCCTAGCTAGTACAAACCTGTTTGTACTAGCTAGGATAAATTATGTGACTGGACAAAAACACTTTTGAAACTTTTCAAAGTGGGTAAAAGCATCTCCTACGTGCTGTAAATGTGCACTGATCACATCATGATTGTATCAGAACTGTTACTTGGACAAAAGGTTAAAAAGCTTAAAGGTTGGTCTGGTCATGGCAGACCACACGGATTTCATTGCAATTCAGTTCTGGCTGACTGCCGTTCTTAAAGCTCCTGCTCCAGTTGAGACTCCCATTGCCTTCCAATGGCATCCCAAATTTTTCTAGAACTAAAATAGTCAGATGAGCAGAAAACAACTGTTATTTTGACCAGTAAACACGTGAGTACTCCCACACTGATCAAGAGAGGTACAGTGCTCTGTCTGATTTCATGGGAGGCACAATGAAAACATCCCTTTTTATGAACTGGTGAGTGACCACATGCTGACTAATAGCACCCATCAAGCTTAAGGACACTCCAATAGTATTATGACTACTTAACATTTCTTTAATATATTAAAGAGGCTGAACATCCTTGGGATTCTCAAAGATTCTGCTCTGAGAGAGGTTTACATTCAATGAGCATGGCTCATTTGTACTATACGCTGACCTATTACATCACAGGAGCTTCTTGTAGGTAGTTGCTATTACATTCCAACCTGATCATTCTCAATACCTGCAAAATAAACAGGAATGCAACTATTGCATATCATCTCATATCTATGTACCTGTAATGAATGGAGGTGAATGAAGGTCACAGGGTGCCACATTTATCATTTTGTCCCTCTATATACCCACCTTCTGGAAAAGCCTGCATCTGGGCAGATTCAGCAGCAAACTCATCCCTTAAATTTCTTGTTGGATGGTTTACAGCTGTCTGACTGATGTGTCAAAGAAAAAGTTGAACTGTATTGTTGTTGAAAGGATTATACATGCAGTTGAGCCACTGCTGATTAGCAAATAAGCTAATAAAAAAACTTAAAACTAAACATGATTTTGCCAGTAATGGCACATGCGTATCTTGTATCTTGCACAAGTCTGACCAAAATGCACACTTTTCAACCTTTACAAACAGTTCTTCGATCGATGCCACAGAATAACTACTTTTTGAGATTTACAAGTGTGAACAATTGTTTGAAAGTTTAAAGAACTTTCACAAAATATAAGGTTTCTATGCCGATTAGAACCTTTATATCATGTAGAGGATCTTTAAGGTTCAAAAATGTTTCTGACACTCACATTTGCATTAACTACTCTTGTTCTGACTTGTAAATAACTTTCACACTGACCAATATATATGGGTGATTACCCGTTGGCATCCCAAACTGATCGAACGTATTGATGGTTAGATCAAAAAGGGAGCACTTTCACCACTTACCAACAGAGATAAGGACAGTGTAACTTTCACAGATGATGTTTCTGACAGGACTCATTTAATTTGTTTGATGAAGCTGAAGGTATATGCTCATTAAGTTTATTTCTCTGATCCTCAAAGTGGTCCAGGACCAGTGGTTCTCAGATGGTCCAGATTTTCATTACAGCCTAACTTGAAACATATGGCAACAAAGCAAAAATTTGGACCATCTGGGGGTCCTTGAGAATCATCAGCATTCAGCTTGACCCGAGATTAGACAGTCATTAGTGCATATTTATTCAGTAAGATACCCAACATATCCATAGGATAAAAAATAGCCAAGCCAATTTAGTCCTGTTTGACTTCAGTTCTTAAAACTTCCATTGGCATCCACTGGTATGCCAAACTGATTTATCGCTACACACTTAAAAATGGTTCTTCAGGGGTTCTTTAGTAAGAAAATGGGTATATATAGAACCACGAATGCTCAAAGAGCCATTTGCAAGATTAAAGAGATCTCTGCATTGTAAAATGATTCCTCAGAGGGATGGAGAACGTGAAATATATTGCTGTTGTCGGAAGAAAACCTTATATATCCATTTTTTCATTTTATTAAGTTTTAGACATATTTTGAAAGTACCTGTGGCCCTTTACATTGTATCTAAATGTCACAATGAATGGACTAAAAAAAATGACCCAAAATTACTTGGACAGAAAGGTAAATGGTTGTAATAAACAAAATAATGGCCAAATTAAGCGTTTTATCATGTTTTCTACTTTAATATAATAAGTTAATACAGTAATAATAATAAGAGTTATAGTAATAATAATAATAGTAATAATAGAAAAAGAAAATTATTACTTAAATTATAACTTTCCATGTCTTATGCTGTCGTGACTAGCTGCAAACTACAGTAGCTTCTGAAATTAACACCAGCTCCCAATTAGCAGTCGTTGAGTAAGGTATTTAGGCCAAGTATCTTAAGAATTCCTAAAACTCATGCTCCAGGTGAGGCTTGAACTCACAACCTCAGCACCGCTTCACATCTCCTGCTGTATAAGTACTGCACACTGACCGATTGTGCCACTGGAGCCACACAGGTGGTGTCAAGTTCGGCATCCATTGATTTGTCTATCACTACATGCATGACTCACCTTATGGAAAGCAAAGCACACATAGCCCATTTCAACAACCAAGGAGTGCTTCCACAGTGACCAGCAGCACCACTAGAGCTTAATGGCAAAGTTAAGGCCCACTTTTGGCCCTTATTTGCAGGTGCCCATGAGTATTTAGTTTGAGTTTAGCGTGCCCTCTTGCATCACCTTTTTTGAGCAACTGAAATCGTCTTGTCGTGTGAACTCGTCATCGTCTCGTCGTCTGATGTCTCAGCAGTTTCATTTGGCGTTGCTATGATGACCAGCTACATTGAGGGGGTGCTATATCTGCAGTGGAAAATGAAGTAGCTGGTACCAAAAGCGTGTCGAGTCATGTAGAACCGAGTCGAGCTGTATCATGTAGTGGAAAAGCCGCTTAATGTGCAGTCCTTAAGAACGACATTTAGTTTCAATGCACACAAGTTATATTGTTTAAAGATAGAAAAGACCACTTGACTTTTGCAAGCAGCCACTCAATTATCTTTTTAGTTCTGCTCCTTAAGGCCCTAAATTCTTGTTGCAGGCAAGATTTGAAGATTCTCTACATGGCTTCATGTGCAGCACACTTGATTCATGAGTGTGTCTACATTTACCAGTAGCACTACTAGAGCTTAAGAGCATTAAAGCTATGGTCCTGTCAAACCTGGTGGACTTTTGCCCCTCATTTGTGAGTGCCATAGGGTCTACCATTTGTCATTTTGCTGTTCAAAAGGATACTCATGAGCATATGTTGGATTTATTCTGCTCTTTCACACCTAAGATAGCTCAAAAATACTTATCAAGTCCTTGTCAAGAGGAGTTTGATGTGAGTTCATAAGAAACACAACACAAATAGCCCATTTCACCAAAAACTCTTCCACACTACAGGTAGCACCACCGGAGCTTAAGTACACTGTTGCTATGACCAGCAGCTGAAAGAGTACACCAACTCCACTGTTTCTTGGAAAAGCCCAGCACTTACGATAGACTGGAGCATTTTTAGGGTTGGAAAAACTCATGCAAACTCAGAAACAGTTGCTTACCCACTGCACAAACATGTCCCAAACAAATGCTTTTAAACCTAGTGCCTTCAAGGCCCCTTCCCTTATACATCTGCACATTGTTAAATAATGAAAGTGCTGACTGGGAGGAGGAACAGGGGGCTAACCTGCTTACAGCGCTTTGCCACAGTAAAGTTTTACACTTACAGATCTGTGATTTTATAATCTGTCATCTTTTCCTTTGCTCCTTTACAAAGTGAACTCTACCGTTCCTGAGTATCCATGCTGAATTTGGTTAAACATCTTGCCAGGGTACCAAGCATAGCAAACAGGGACTGGAACAATAAATGGTGAGATCACTGATCTGATTGCACTGATATGCAATGGCTACAGAACTGACCGAACTCCTCAGAACTCCTCCAACTTTCATATATACCATTATTTAAATTTGGATTAGCAACCATACCATGACATGCTGCAATGTCCAGAGGAGAAGCACTATTAGACTGCAGTTGTAAGTGAACACCAGCTGTACTGTTGCTTGGTGACAGCAACCAATTAGCGTTGCTTGAGTAAGATTTTTTGGCTGAGCATCTTTAGGGTTCCTTAAAGAGCTCCCATTAGCGAAGCTCCAACTCACAAGCTTGGGCTTTTTCAGACTGCTAAGCCAAATCCAATGTTTGGCACATCCAGATTGCTGTCGTCTGGACAGCAAAAGACAACATGAAATATGATTTTTGCAAATCAGATCTAAAACACTTTTGAAGCTGGTTTGAAATGTGATTCTAATCAAATGCTTGGTTGAATTCTTAAATCAAGTTCTGGCTGCTCAAATTAGGTTTTAAAGTGTCTTTTGTGTCACTCACAACATGATGAAAAATCACACTCACACATTATTTAAGCCACTTGTTCTCCTTGATTGAAGAGGGGTACTGAAGGCTACCCCAGTGCTCACTGTGGGGAAGGCAGGAAACAACCTGGACAGGCTGCCAATCCATCACAGGGTAGATACACAGACCTACTCACACCTAGGGGCAATTTACCATCTCCAGCTCACCTGACAACATGTCTTTGGACTTTTGAAGGAAACCCACAAAGACTGGTTGCTTGACTGGGGAATCGAAGCCAGGCCTGTTTTGCTCTGAGGCGACAACGCTACCCACTGCAGTCATCATGGTTATCACAATGATGGCAAATTCAGAGAGATGAAAGTGCATAGATTCAAGAAGCGTGCCAGAGATTCACATATATGCCAGAGAATTTTGAAGAGTTTGGAGGGGGAGATAATGCACCTCCATCCCTCCCGCATTTGAAATCAATGTCACCAGCACTACTATGTACTTACTGACACCTACATCAGTACCACAGCACATGGTTGCTGATGTCTGGACACACAAATCTGTTCTGATAACTTGCAAATAACAGTGTGGACAGTCATCTCAAAAGATCTGATTTAAGAAACAAATCTGATTTGACTGCAGTCTGAACAGAGCCTAAGATAAATCCCAACAACTGTAACAAGGGAGGCTTCCTAAAGCTCTTGTTCTACATGAGGCTTGAACTCTCAGCCTTGACATTTGGTTCACATCTACTGTTGTGTAACACACCGTGCACAAACCAGTTGTGCCACAGCACAGCAGCATTACCGTCAGTAATTTAGCATCCCAAACTGATCCGTGACTTTGATCATCAAGCACAAACATGGTTGGTGCTTTTGCGTGCAGCCACTAACCTTTTAGTTCTGCTGTCTTTCGGTCTTAAAGCTTTTGTTCCAGGATTAAACAAGTTTAAACTCACAACCTCTGCATGGCTTCTTATGTAACACACTTCACTCAAATCATGTCGAGCACAAGACAAATAGCAAGTTTTAGAAACAGATGAGTGTGCCCACACTTACCAGTAGCACCACAGTAGCTTAAGTCCAACTTGATCCACTTTCAGTCCCCATTTGTGAGTGCCAGTGACTAATGCGAGGCTGTAGGGTGTCCCATTTCTCAATTAACTGGTGAAGGGATGCCCATGAATAGTGATATTCCACTTTCTTTGTGCATTATCTTTTCCCCTGAGGTGCTCTTGTTGCATTTCTGTGGTTTCATTCACCAAAACAGCCAAACTGTTCCAACCTCTCTTTATCCCTTACCTCTATTCTGATTGGCTGTCCTCTTTTGTGCCTTGTTCAAAGAACTGTCCAGGCTAAAACACTCCTTATAACTTCACTGTGATTGGGTGGGGCTAAACAGCTGTTAGTTGAACATGCAAATGTGTTGGTTTGCATGACAAAACGAAAACAATATATTCAAAATGTGCTGTTTTGCAGCTTTGTTTGCATTCATGGACTGACATAATTTTGCCAGGGAAGTAAACGCCAGCTTTGCTTTAGGGAAGAAATTAGCATTTTTTTTTCAGTACGGCATTTGTGCAGAGCATCTCTAGGGTTCTTAAAGTTCCTGCTCCAGGTGAGGCTCGAACTCACAGCCTCGGCATAGCTTCACAGACACTGCTGTATAAGTACCGTGCGCTAACCAATTGCGCCACTGGAGCTTCCATCAACCAACTGACCTACACGACTGTGTTGATATGGAGTCACCCCCCCTTTATGACTATGACAGCCTCCACTCTTCTGGGCAGCTTTCCACAAGATTTTGGAGTGTGTCTGAGGAAATGACCTTTCAGTTCATCTCAAAAGTGTTCAGTGGTGTTGAGATCAGGGCCTCGTGCAAGCCACTGGAGTTCCTCCACACCTAACTCATCAAACTATGGCCTCTTTTCCATTGCAGGGCCGAACGATTCTGAGCATGGAGGGTGACCATTCCATTGGCGTTTCCACACACACACACAGTTCGACACGGAACGCTTAAAACTGGGCTCAGCCCAGTTTTTTCGGCACAGTTAACTAACTGTACTCAGGGCCACAGAACCGTTCGGTGGGATGACGTAACCTGTTCTGTAGTGCTTTAAGCTGTAGCTTGCTGGGCTAAGCTAACATGAGTGCACGGTTCCTTCCACTGCAGTATGGTCTCAGTTCTAGCGAACCGATGATTTAAAAACACCCATTTAGAGAATAAAGATGTATCTGAGAACACACATTTGAATGACTGGTGTTGAAGTGAGAGAAAGAAAAAATACAGAATTGTTATGTGGTACTTTGAGCTGTACCGGGCAGGCGATGCTAATGCTAATGTAGCTAGTTATCCGGCTACAGGTGAAACCTGCCGCAGGACGGGCCATTTTAGTAACAAATGCTCAAATAACCCCCGGCTTAGGGGATATAGATGATGAGAGCACACAGAGAGACTGGAGTTGAACTGACAGATCGAATCAAACACGTTTTTAGTGGTGTAGTATCCAAACTCCAGGTGTAATCTGACGTTGCAGGATTGGAATGTTTAAGTGAACAAGTGTACAAGCAAGGCGGTGTCAGCGGAGACTTCTTCATCATCTTCACATCATTGCTATTTAATAAACAACAGTGGCTGGTGTGTGCATGACTATTATGTGCCTGCTAGCAGTTACTCACTTGTTTGTGTGTTTTTCGTGGGTATTTCCTGGTTTCGATTTAGTTTAGCGGTACAATAGATGGAAAAAGAAACCTTAACTGGTCTCACAAGTCCGGACCAGCGCCGAACAGCCTGGTAGAAAAGCAGCCTACGTTTTTATGGAGCTCGCTTTGTGCACAGGGGCTCAGTCATGCTGGAACAGGAAAGGGTAAACTGCTGCCACAAAGCTGGAAGCATATAATAGTGTAAAATGTCTTTGTGTGCTGTAATATTGACATCACCCCTCACTGGACCTAAGGGGCCCAAACCCTCAAAATCAGCCCCAGCCCATTATCCCTCCTCCACCAAACTATACTGTTGGTACTATCCAGTAGGTAGGGTCTCAAAGGATTTCAGAGTATGCCTGACCTCACAAATGCTCTTTTAACTGAATGAGAACAAATTCCCACGGATACACTCCTA